GAATTAAAATAAATTAATTCAGAAAAAACATAATATTTAGTTTACACTTAAAGTAATGATACGTGCAATAATAATTGTAGGAGTTTTTTGGTAATCATGTCACATGTAGTGTATATTTTACACGTGCAAATGTCGCAAATAATAATAATTTTTTTTTTTTTTTTTAGAAAATTCATTTATTATAATAAATTATACATAGCTCAAAAAGAGCAAATTTACAATAATATAATAATAAGATGAATCTATCTACCACCTGTAAGCAAGCTTGTGATGATGGTAGAGAGTTACAAAATCTAGTAATTAATACAATAATTGATAAAAATATAAATAAATAAACAAATACATGAATGTTATTATACATAAACGATAAACACTAGTCTAAATGAGTTTCTAACCAGTTGAAAATTAATTTTTTGAGATTCGACTTTTTAAGATTCCTGGAGTTATCGTCTATACTTATTTTAATATTAATTGGCAGTGAGTTGAAATATGTGGGACTAAGATAATTAACAAATTTTTGCCCAAAAGATTTTTTAGTATAATGTATCTTAGCATTGTATGCTCTATTTTCTCTTTTTTCATTAATGTTAACTACGTCCACACATTGATAATAATTTTTAACTATGAAAAATATAGCTATTTTTTTGTAAAGTTTTTCTAGTGATAGAACATTGAATAGTTTAAAGTTTTCTATTGTTGATCCTTCTAGGCTTATCTTACTCAGACAGATCCTAATTATTAATCTTTGTTGTATTATTAGTGGCTGTAGTGCGTTTTTGGCTGTACCTCCCCAGACCAACAGGCCGTATTGTAATATTGCTTGATATAAGGCAAGATAAATTATTCTTAAAGTATGAACTGGTAAAAAATTTCTTAATTTATAAAATTTGAAAGACACTGTTCGTAGTCGTGACACAATATTACTCACGCTCACGTCCAGCTGCTGTCTTATCTTTTAAATTGTTGATAATTAATAAAACTTCGTCGACACTGACTTTTTCATTAAAAATTGTATCAAAAGATTCAGTTGTATTTGGTTCATCATAATGAAAGTTTGATTTATTTATCAAGCCTCCAAGGTTACTCCCAATGGTTGTAAAATACTTATTAAAAATATTGGAAACCCTAATTGGGTTTAAAGATGAATTGATATTTTCATTACCAAAAATTAATATTGAATGTATTTCCTCATCGTTTTTTAATTTTGCAATTTGTATTAGCTACATCATTAATCAGTTTAAATGTTAATTTTGGGCTATATGAAACCTCTTTGAATTTATTTATGTAATGATTGTTTTTAGCTAATCTTAAAATTTTTGAAAATTTATTTTTATAAAGTATGTAGTGTGCATGTAGTTTGTGATTACTTGGGTGTTTTAGTGTTTATGAACTTTTAAGGATAGTTTTTGTTTATTACGTAGAGAGCAAAGCAAGCCAGGTGTCATCCATTCTTTTAGATATTTGTTTTTTGAATTGGCAGTTTTAGTTATTGAGGTCATACTTATAGCACTATCAACCTTATTAATAAAAACATTGTAGCATTCATTAACATTGTTATTAATATACACTTTATTCCAATTGTATTTTTTTTATATTTCATTCAGATCGCAGTAATTTATTGTCTTATATACGTTTTTACTTTTTTGTTGATTCTGGTTTATATTTGAATACCTATAACTGTTGAGAAGTGGTCCGTTATACTAGTTTGAATCACACCAGCCTCAATTTTACCGTTAACGTTAATGTTATTATTACTTTTGACAAAAATATGGTCTAAACAAGAATGTTTGCTACCTAGCGGTGTTCTAGTAGACACATAAATAAATGATTCGTATCCATATTGTGATATGTTATCAAGATATTCGTTATTAGTGAAATTCGGACCCACAATGTTTATATTCATATCACCAATTATAATTTGATAGCCTTTATTATTTATTTCGTCTTTTAGAATGTTATCTAAGATGGGCAAAAATTCATTAATGTCACTTGAGGGGGACCTGTATACACATAAAATGGTAAATGGAGTATTATTTATTACAAAATTTAGTTTCATAAGATTAGCCACTGTATGTTTGTATTCAACTAATTCTATACATAATTGTGTTCTGGTAAATACAATTATACCATCATTTTGGTTTCTTTTAATACTCGAGAAAGACAGTCTATATCCAGGAATCTTAAAAAACAGTATTCTACATTATGCCAGGTTTCAGTTAATATTATTACATCTAATTTACAGCAGTTAGTATCACTGTTAATAAACAATAAAAATTCATTAAAATGAGCATTTATGCTCCTAATATTATTACAGAAGACACTTATAAACTTACCATTAACATATTTATAAGTTTTTACAAATTCAGAAAAGGAATCAAAATATTTTGTTTTATAATCTAAATAATTATTTAATACATTTAAGTCATTCATGATAAGAAAGTTATTTATCAAAATTTATTTTACAACTTGAATGATGATTTTACTGAAGCTTTGTCAGATCAGTTTCATCAAATATAATATTTGCTTTACAATTTTCATTTTTTTTTTATAAATATTTTAAAGTCGTTGTACCACGTAAATTTAAAATCATTATTTTTAGCAAATATTCTAACTTTATAAAAGAGATCCCTATTATAAGGTGAAAGTTCATGATTAATAAAGATTTTACCGTTTCCCCAATTGATATTAAAATTATTAGCATTTAATTTTTTAATTTTCATGTTCTCCATTATTTTATTTTTATTATCGACCGAGTCTAATACAGCAATAATTTTCTTAGGTTTATTTAAAAACTTAGAATACATACTGTAGGCTTTATTTACTGATAAATTTACTCCCAACTTGTCCGCAATGTTCTTAACAATTTCCACACAACTTTTATGAGGCGATTCAGGTACTCCGATAATTTCCACATTATTGCTCACAGCCTTTTGCTCCAATAAATTGACCTTCCTTGACAATATTTTTACGATGTTATTTATTTTACTGTTTTCCATTATTAAACACTTATTCTCTTCTTTTAGCTCTTTAATTGTGTTAAGGACCTCACTTAACTGTTTAGAGAAACTATCAAATTGAGCACTCATAAACTTCACCGATTCGGTTAAGCAAGTAAGGGGTTCATTTGACTCATCACTAGAGTTGACATTCTTGTTAAGAGCTGTGTTACAAACCGTTGCAGATTTGCAGTTAACACAACACCAGTTATCCTTCGTTGCTTTCCCCATTTTTGGAAAGGATGCTTCTCTGAGGCTGGCGCAAGAAAAATATAAAAATTCTTTACAGGCAGTACATTTTAACTCTTCGCCTTGATAAACTTCATCATTACATAGTAAGCACAACATTATTTAATCACACTGTAACACTATAGAACATTAACCGGAAAATATACAGACAAAAGTATAAATAATTAAACACTATAACGCTATTGAACATTGACCGGTGATTGCACAGATAAGAGAGCGAAAATAATACCACGACTAGCTGTGATGAACACACAACAGTAACTGATATGGCAAATGGAAAAGTCAAAAACTACTTCCCAAACCAGGACTACTGTGTTGCATATAGTTCAACCAAATCAAAAACCGACTACGACAATGCGAAAAGTAAAGTACGAAAAAGGAAGTAACTATTCGTGCCAGGTGTGCCAAGCGAGGCCTGGACACTTGCTAATTGCGTGCCCAGTCTTCAAAGAGAAGACACCTAAGGACCGACATCAAATCATAAAAGAGCTGAACCGCTGTTACTTATGTTTTAGTGAACATAGAATAACTCAATGTAGTAATACTAGGGTGTGTTCAGAATGTGGCGGACGCCACCATTCGTTGTTACATTTAAGAACCACGGAGAGTGAAGAGCAACCGGTGACCGCAAACACGACCATGCTTTCAGCTGCTAATGAGAGACCTGACCGCTGCCGTGTGCTTTTGTCGACCGTAGCTATTCTTGTTCAAGATGTTAATGGTGATTACCAAGAGTTTCGAGCTTTGTTAGACGGCGCCAGTGAAAGAAGTTACATGACGGAAGTTTGTGGAAGGAAACTAGGTTTAGCACGACAGAAATGTAATTTAGTGGTTCGAGGGATGTCTGACGTGCAGGTAGCATCTATTAAGTCTCACGTCAATTTAAACCTGCGTCATGAAAGAAGTAGTACTCCTGAAATAAACATCAATGCTTATGTGGTTCCTCGGATAACAGGGTTATTACCATCAAAACGCGTATGGAAAGCCGAATGGAAACATCTAAAGGGACTCGAGTTGGCAGATCCCAGGTATGACGAGCCAATGTCAGTAGACATTTTACTCGGCGCTGATGTCGTTCCCTACGCTACTCGAAGTGGTCGTAGAGAAGGTACAGGGACGGAGCCGGTTGGGCTTGAAACTGTGTTTGGATGGACACTTATGGGAAACACCGGAACTGCAACAATAGAGACAGCCAGCACATTCGTAACTGCATTGGAGAAGATTGATTCAACACTACGTCGTTTTTGGGACATGGAAGAACTACCAAAAATCAGCATCAGACCCCCGAAAACATAAAATGCGAGGAGTTATACACCACCACAACTGCAAGGAGACCAGATGGTCGATACGTGGTGCATCTTTCATTCATACAAAACCCACCACATCTGGGAGAGTTACGAGCGATGGCCACGCAGTGGTTACACAAACTCGAAATTCGACTAGGGAAGTCTGAGGAACTCCGTCAGCAGTATAATTTAGCTATGCGAGACTATCTCGATGCTGGTCATATGAAACCAGTTGACTCAACTGAGACTATGACTTCACACTCCTACTATACTCCACACCGTGTAGTCCTTAAGCCCGAGAGTTTAACTACAAAAGTACGGGTAGTGTATGACGCATCTGTAGTTACTTCCAATGGAAAATCTTTGAACGATTGTCTAGTTCCTGGGCCCAAACTTCAGCAAGACTTGTCGGGGATTTTAGTACGATTCCGATTACATTCCATAGTTTTCACTGCAGATATAAGGCAAATGTTTCGCAAAATCGCTATCACTGGCGAACACCATGCGTATCAGCAACTTCTATATAGTTTTCATCCTACAGATCCAGTGTAAGTGTTTGAAATGACAACCGTAACGTTTGGACAGCGTTCCTCACCCTTTTTGGCCATTCGAACCCTACACCAATTGGCCGCGGATGAAGCCGCAAACCATCCAGAAGTTCAAAAGGTTATACATACTCTGATCTTTACGTGGATGACGTAGAAACTGGAACGAAATGTGAAGAATCGGCTCTTCGACTGCAGCAAGATTTAATTAATGTGTTCAAGCAAGGAGGCTTTGATCTATGAAAATGGTCTAGCAATTCCATTGCTCTGCTTAAAGCTGTACCACCCGAACACCGACAAACCGAAGCAGTGACCTTTGATGAGCCAACATCAGACTACACAAAAGTACTTGGGTTAAAGTGAGAGCCCAAAAATGACACGATAGCGTACCAGTATCAACCTAATCTGGTGAGGTATAGTAAACAAGCGATTTTGTCCGAGATTGCTCGAATCTATTACCCGATAGGTCTTTTGACGCCATTAATAACTAACCTAAAGCGGTTGATGAAGTATTTATGGGCCCTAAGAATTGGTTGGGATGATGATCTGCCAGTAGTGGCCAAGGAGGCTTTTACAAGATATCACGATGAGTTGCCTTTTATTGCTTCAGTGTGCGTGGCCCGGCGGATTACCGTCGACGATGCCAACTACGAACTCCATGGATTTTGCGATAGTTCGGAGAGTGCCTACGCCGCCGCTGCTTACATTCTAGCCCGCACATCTAACGGTCAGATCCAAGTTCACTTGTCAATGGGCAAATCTAAAGTGTCTCCGGAGAAGAAACTGTCGATTCCTTGACTTGAACTTTGTAGCGCACTACTATTAGCACGTACGATTGATTATCTCCGTTCTAATCTGAAGTGATTACCGATTGACCAGTACTATGCTTGTACTGACTCTATGGTGACTCTTGCCTGGATCAATACTCCATCAGCTAATCTTAAAACCTTAGTCGGTAATCGGGTTGCGAGAATCCAAAAACTTACTTCACAAAAGATATGAAGGTACGTTCCATCAGCACAGAACCCCATAGATTGCGCATCACGTGGTCTGACACCCAGTGAAATTGTTGACCATCCTCTGTGGTGGAATGGTCCGATATTTCTTCGACAACCATTGTACACTTGGCCACAACAGGCAAATATGTCAGATACAGATCTTGTCGAAAATCAATCTGAAGAAAAGTTGATTACCTTAATAGCCAGTGCCACAACTTCACAACTAGACGAAAATTGTGCGATTCTTTACGCGTCATCCGAACTTTCTAAAGTTCTCCGTTTAGCAGCTTATTGGTTGCGACTACGTCAACGATTGGGTAGGCCGCCCATGGTGCAATACCCAACCAATCGCCCAAGTGTCCAAGAAAAGAGAGATGCGTTAAAGGCGTTAATACGATGGATCCAGCATATACACTTCGCTGAAGACTGGAACTGTCTTAGGCAAAACCGACCGTGTACACCAAAACTCCTCATGCTTGGTGCATACTTGGATCTCGACAGTGATCTCATCCGCGTTGGAGGAAACTTGAAGAACTCTGACTTACCTTATGAGGCAAAACACCCGATACTACTCCCAAAACAATCGCAGTTAACCATTTTATTGATCGACTATGTACATAGTCTTCATTGTCATCCCGGACCACAAACGACGCAGAATATTCTACACCAGGATTATTGAATCTTATCGGCTCGTAGCGTCATACGTAAACGACTATACCAGTGCATCCCCTGCTTTCAGGCGAAGCCAAACCCCATGCACCCTATAATGTGAGCGTTGCCTCGAGCTCGTGTTGCAAGTATCAAAGCGTTTGCACAGGTAGGAGTTGATTTTGCAGGCCCTTTTTGGGTAAAGGCCACTTTGTTACGACGAATCCAAGCCAAAAAAGGCTACCTGTGTATATTTGTCTGCATGGCAACTCGAGCAGTTCACCTCGAACTTGTAAGTGATCTAACCACGTGCCTGTTTCTATCAGCACTTAATAGATTCATTAGTTGACGTGGTCGCTGTGAAGCTTTATATAGTGACTGTGGCACTTATTTTGTGGGTGCAAAAAACTACTTGGAGGTAATACAGAAATTAATTAAGTCCGACGAAGTAGAGAGAGGTCTTGCGACCCACCAGATAAGATGGCATTTGAATCCACCCGCTGCTCCACAAATTGGCGGTCTATGGGAGGCAGCAGTAAAATCCGCTGAGACCCTCTTACATCGTACAATCAAAGAACAAATTCTGACCTACGAAGAGTTGAACACCGAATTGAGGCAATATTAAACTCACGTCCATTAGGGTTCATGACGTCATCAGATCCTTACGACCTACAACCACTAACCGCTGGACATTTTTTAACGTTAGAACCAATCGTTAGCATGCCGACGCCAGATACAATTAAAACTCTACCAAAGCTGGGACTTCACCAACGCTGGAAACTAGTCCAACAACTGCAACAACATTTTTGTGAACGTTGGCAGCAGGAATCTTTGCATACTATCCAAACCAAATCCAAATGGAACAAAATTGAAACCAACCTGGCTCAGGGGACCTTGTGATTATTAAGGAACCAACTCCGCCCCTCACATGGGATGATCAACAGACATAATAGTCATTATTGGTCCGATTCAAACCCTCATTGGACTAAAGATGTTAACTTTCAAGTTAAGTGGGGAGTTAATGTATGGTGTGGAATTTTGGGAGACACTTTAATAGGTCCATACTTTTTTGATGGTACACTAACTGGGAATAAATATAGAAACTTTTTAAACAATGAAATTCCAAAACTCTTGGAAAATGTATCACTGGAGCAACGCTTAAAAATGTACTATCATCAAGATGGAGCCCCAGCTCCAAGCATTCCAGAAATTAATTTTTTTTTAATAAATAGGCACATATAGTCCAGAAATTAGATGGCCAGCTCGTAGTCCAGATTTGACTCCACTAGATTTTTTTCTTTGGGGTTTCTTAAAAGAAGTAGTCTATATAACACAATCAGTCACTATAGATGAACTTCAAAAGAAAATAGTAGACGCCTGTGCATCAATTCTTAAGGAAATGCTATTGAAAGTAACCAACCACGAAGTGTTGAAACGTATGGAAATGTGCTTAGAAGTAAATGGTCAAAATTTTGAACATTTATTAAAATAAAAATAAATTACTATTTTAATTAATAAATGTTAAAATCTTTTACGTAATGAAAATATATGTTTGCTTAATAGTACTTTTGTCTTAAATGTAACTAACCTGACCTATAACTACCAAATATCGAAAAGTGACCACATTAATACTATAATATAAACCTTATTGCTTACGGTGCAGTTTAATTACAATTTAATATGACACACTATTTCAATTTTAATAGCTATAGATCAAGTTTTTACAGACCGTTAATATTACAAATATTTAAATGAATCAACTAAAAAAATAAAATCTGAAAAACCATGATATCCTACTAATGTAGATTCTTGAATTGCTGCAATTGCTTGAATGCACAGCTTAAAATATGATCATTACTTTTATAAAAAGATTTACAATTTCATATGAAATGTATAAAATGAAAATACATTTGTGCATGCTAATATTATTTTCTTTAAATTAAAACAGATCCCACAACAGTTGATTAAATGGTTTTATTTGGCACTCATTTCTAGATGCCAATAAATTGAGTAAAAAAAAAATTAGACATGACGATAAGAAATTTAAAATACTTCATATTTGTCTTCATGATTTCAATGGCTTATTATTAAATATCTACAATTACTATGTAAAATTAGGTTTAATAATAACACTCAGAAATATGTTACTTACAACTATGTGCAAATACTATCTAAAAGTTATTTTATCCATAAAATATATCTCACAGATTGATTGGACATTTTAGGTTTGTTATAATAATTGCATGCACGAGACTTAAATTTGAATTGTCGTAATGTTCCTGAAACCAAATATAAAACTAAAATTACATTTAAAAAAAATCTGAAGAATATAATATTACCTTATGTATTATATAACGAAACATTGGTAATCATCTTTGAAGTGCAAGTAATTGGAATAGAAATTAAACATCTGGTAACCTTCTCTCAAACTATCACTGTAGTCACATTGAAGATTTTTGTGAAATAATAGCGATATCCACATTGCCAGTTAATATTTAACCTTCCTGAAAGAAAAAAAAATCACTTTTAAAAACAATGAAGTTAATTTACTAAAATTATTTAATTTAAGTCTTTAAGCTAAGTTACTTTTTATAAGAATTATTTTTAAAATAATGTTGTAGTACAGTGCCTACTTAATAAAATGTTATAAAGTGACAATACTTTGTTCTAGTTTTTAAATATCCATAATTATTGAACATTTAAGTATGAGCTTCACAAAATAGAAATAACAACTAATAAGTATGAATTTGTTCTGAAATCAAATTACGTTTGTTATAAACGGAAAAATAAGGCAAATACTATCTATAAATAATTTTGTCCAAAAAATATGTTTTAAAGATTAATTACACATTTTAGGCTCGTCGTCGAGTATCAATACATTAATTGTAATGTTTGTAATGTACCTGAAACCAAATACAAAAATCTAAATTACATTTAATAAAAACTGAATAATATGATATTGGGTACATTATGTATAATGTAGAAACATTGGTTATCATTTTTTAAGTGCAAAATATGTGCAGAAATTAAACACGATTAATTAATTTTGTAAACAGCATGCGATTAAATTCCTCGGAAATCCTCTCTCAAACAGTCTATGTTGCATGCAAGTGTTGGGTAAGTTAATAGCAAATAGCAATATCCACGTTGGCAGATAATATTTAACAATTCTGAAAGTAAAACAAATTTAAATTTAAAAACAACGAAGTTAATTTACTAGAATGTATGTAAGCTAGTCCTTTTTATAACTTTTTGTAAACAAACTTACCCTTTTAAAATAATTTTGCTGGTAGGTGTACTAAAAAAAAGGTTAATGGTGCACAAGGTTGGTTTATTTTCTTGACACAGTCTTTAAATTTTAACTTTGATTATGTCTGTCACTTCAACAGAAAGTAGCAAGTTATCAGATCATGATTTTAACTATGAAAAAGATATGCGGTATTACAAGTCTACTTATAAGGAATTGGTTAAACAAAACGAGGAATTGTATCAGGTAGTAATTTTATTAAAAATAAATATTAAATAGCACAAAGTATAAAATCCAAATTAAATAACCAAGTTACACATGTACAACACTTCACCATTTTTGAGAAATCGCGTGGACAAATATCCAAAAAAACAGACAAGATTCAAATTTCAAAGTTAAATAAAAAAGAGTGATACCACTTGTCCGAATATGATAAGACATAAGAATGATTATACAGCGATTATCGTATGACTTACTCACAGATTTCTATATATAGAAAGTAATATAGAAGTCTGTGGACTTACGTCCTTTGGAGGTCGGCTAGACAGTGTTGCATGGGTCGTCGATTGAAATTTTCGTTTTTTTTTTGTCCGAGCACAGTGCAGAAAGCAAACGGCCACGCGGGCATCACTGTAAAAATGTACTATAGGTTTTTTCACATTGGTTTGTTATCAGTTTTCGGACAGATTACAACTTACTACAGCCCATAGACATATAATAGAATAGACCGCGAACAACACATATTTCATGTAGAAATTATAGAAGCCAACATAATATGTGCGAGTGAGAAAGACTCTAAAGAGGTTTTCTCATGGAAAAAAAAACTGTTTACTCCATGACAAAATAATGGTGATAGTGATATTATCATTTTTTTTACCGTAACAAATAACAATAAACAATAACAAATTGTGGCCCACGCTATCATGGGATATATATTATCTACATCGTGATTCCGCCTCATAATATAATTCAACTGAAAAAAAAAAAAACAGTTTTATTAACTCATCCATGAGAAAACCTCTTATGGTTCTTTCTCTCTCACACATATTATCATGGCTTTGTAGTTCTCTTTCTATTCGCGGTCTATTATATTATATGTCTATGCTACAGCCCATGAAAAATTAAGTCATGCTACAGCAGCAGCTGCTGCCTATGACCAGTGGTCTGTGGCTTATCTGCTTAAACCGTGTTTATCACAATATTGTCAATCATTTCTTATCTAAACACCGATATCTGAAATTACTTTACGCTTATTATTATAGCAAGTGCGTAATCTGGAAGAATTTTCCTGGACGTGTATAAATATCGATAGCTATGTAATGCCTATGTTTATTTCTATTACATCTATATATATAAAAATAAGTGTACATTTTGAATAAATCTTATAGCTCAAGATCCACCGAACCGATTTCGATAAAAATTTCAGGGCATATTAAGATTGATATGTAGATGGTTTTTGTGAAGTTTTTACACTGTGCGATAAATGGTTCCGGAGTTATGGCCTCATAAGTGCACACCTGGCGACATGACCAAAAACAACAACAAAATGTATGAAAAATGAAAAAAAACGTCTGTTGACATGACAACAACAATTCTATTTTCTAGATAAATATTAATTGGTTTGAGATTAAACGAGATTGATTTTTATTCAATTTCAATTGTATGGATTTAGGCGTTAAAAAATGCCACGACCAAAACGACAAAATATTGGCCGACGATCATGAAGTTTGTATGCTGTGCGATAAGTGGTTCTGGAGTTATGGACTCTTAAGGTGCACACTAAATAACAAATAATAATAATAAAAAAAAATTAAGTTGAGAATTAAAATAATAATAGTTTAATACACATTTGCTTGCTATTGGTTACGGGCATCTTTGTTGATTGTTATTTTTGTCAATATATTATATATTATACTCAAAAAAACTACTTCGGAGAAGTAAAAAAGGCTTTCTGTGCGTAAGTTGAAGAGATTGGGAGAAAAGATAGAACTTTGGTGTTAATAAAGATGTGAAATCAATCTCAAAGTTCTGTGCCAAAAAGGGCCACGGTTGAAAAAATAGAATTTGGGGCTTAATAAAGAAGTGAAATCAATACCCAAATTATGTGCCTCAACTTGAAAAAATATCTTATTCAAAAAATTTCGAGATGTTCAACTGTAAAACATTAAAAAAAAAATATTAGCACAGAACGGCGTGAATTACAGTTTGTCAACAAAAATTCGAATCAAACAGATTAACCCGTAAACAAGTCGACAATTTATGGCTAATTTTATTAATTCATCATTATTGTACGCCGTTCTGTGCTAATATTTTTTTTTAATGTTTGTACAGTTGAACATCTCGAAATTTTTTTGAATAAGATATTTTTTCAAGTTGAGGCACATAATTTGGGTATTGATTTCACTTCTTTATTAAGCCCCAAATTCTATTTTTTCAACCGTGGCCCTTTTTGGCACAGAACTTTGAGATTGATTTCACATCTTTATTAACACCAAAGTTCTATCTTTTCTCCCAATCTCTTCAACTTACGCACAGAAAGCCTTTTTTACTTCTCCGAAGTAGTTTTTTTGAGGATTTCAATTATTTTTCCGAAGCACGTTTTACTGTGATATACTGAGGTTTATAGTTTATTTATTATATTATATTTATGGAT